TGGTTTCCCTACTCCTTTGCATGCATGTATTGTTTCCCTTGTCGTGATTTTAGTTTCATTGGTGTGTTGTCTCTTTTTTTTTTTGATATACATAGAAGATCTACAGATTCCTTCCCCTCTAAATTCACCAATAGAGTCAAGTGTTAGCTCCCGTGATGCTTCACCGTCCAGAGACTTCTCACCGGCCATTGGACCGTTCAAACCACCAATCATTGTCCAGAAGCGAGGACGCAAGGAACGATTAGGTTTTGAGCTTTCAGCCATCCGTGTCTACCTTGGTGATACCAATGTGTACACAATACATCATATTGTAAAGGTATGCTTATAGTATCTAACTTAATAATATTGACCCATGTGCCATTGCAGTAAGTATTAAAAACGACAAAAATTCCAAGAAAGCTGGCCCTTACTAGATTAAAAAAATCCACAAGTCAGAAATGTATTTACTGAAACTTGATAAGCCTGACAAATTTTAAACTTTAAAAGAGACAATCAAATAGAATGAGTACCCACTGTAGGCCAAGAATAATATGATTGCTGAAAAGAAAGGGCTTGAAATCCAAAGCTTCACTCACCACTGCAGTATTCAAATACACCAATAGGTGGTCTGTACAGAAGTAACACATCACAGATTGTTAACAGCCATACATTCAGTGAACACTTTAGTTTTGTTGATAATGATTTTGATTCACCTCGTATACTTTTATATGACATGACAACCTTAGTCTAAAGAAATTATACAGTATTCTTAAATTTTAAATACAAGTGAAGAACAACTTAGCATGACGATTGCCAAGACTTTTTTCCTGCGGCAAGTCATAAAGTGCTCCACCATAATGAAAAGCATTTCTATCAACTGTAGTGAAACACAAACATACAGTAGTTATTTTTAGATCATTACTTACCGGTCCTTCCCTGACCGGCAGGACAAGATTTTGTATCCTAACAACCACTGCCAGCGAGATTACGTGCAATACAATAGTGGTATGTTGGACAGGTGTGGACGTGAACTTACAAACGTGGCGCCCTGAGTGAACCCTGTCAGACGTGAACTCATATGCCACTGGCAGTGAACGTGTTAATTCATGTGTTTAGACATTTTTTGTTCATTTTATCACATGTATTTACTGTTTTTTATTTTTTCCCTTTTTGCAGCATGTTGACAAGGACAGCGATGTCTACAAGGCAGGTCTACAGAAAAATGACCTTGTGACGCATATCAACAGCAAACCAGTCCAAGGTCTCCTTCATACTGAAGTCATTCAACTTATAGCTGGGGCCACCAGTCAGCTAAGCATCCGTGCTTTACCAATTGAACAAACAACAATTAAAAGTGGTGGTCGCAAGAGGAATCCGTCCATCAGCAAAATGGCAAAGAGAAAGAAAAAGAATCGAAGACGCGATATTCGGAGAAATTCCATTGTTAGGAGATCAAGTCTGAATCGGCGTAGTCTAGTCGAGGGATCTCATGTGCATACGCCATCACCTTTGACCGCCAGCAAAAGCATTGGTTCGCTCCATCGAATAGCTGGAGATGGATTAGTGACTCGTTCCCCGACTTTGCTAAAGTCTCAACGTTCTCCGCCAATATTCAGTGCACTTAGCGATGATCACCGGACATCTTCTACCAATAGCTCACCATGTTCTAGTGGACCAAATTCGCCAGCATCATCACACTTTTCTTCCAGGCCAAGCAGTTTATCAGGATTACCTCTTAAACTTTCTCAAAGAACCATTGGAAGCAGGGGACATCGTCGAAAATCTGTGGGACATATTCCAGTCTCTCCATTGGCTAGGACTCCAAGTCCATCACCTATGCCAACATCACCAGTAAGGAGTTCAAGTCCTCTTGCGATTCACACACATTCTCCTGGCAGTTCTAATTTCACTCAATCGTATCCAATACAGAATTTATCATTTGCATCGCCAATGAAAGTAAAGAAATTAAATGCAAGAGGTCATGATACGCCACCTTCCCCTCTTCTGAGGAGAGCGCTTTCCCCTGACAGAGAAAAATTGTCTTTGTCTGGAGAGTATCTGGAACCGCATGTCAGAAGCAAATCAGAATCAGGTTGTGATTTCCTTCTTAGAAAGTCCTCCTTTGGAAAGCGTAGCAAACCAGATTTCTTAAGAGCTCGTCTTGAAAGGGATTGGGAAAGAAAAGAAGATAAAGAAAAACGTAAGGCAGAAGCAAAGGAAAAGAAGGAGAAAAAAGAGGAAAGCAAAATTGAAGACGTGAAAGATGAAAAACCTGTAAAGCCTTCGAAAGCTGAAAAGAAAGCCAAAAAGGATAAGGATAAAACTGATGAATCTAGTAAAGAGGAAAAATCCAAAGCATCAAAATCAGAACAAAAAGAAAAGAAAGAAAAAGAAAAGAAAGTTAAGGAGAAAAAAGACAAAGGTGATAAGGAAAAGAAAGAAGGAGGAAAAGGTGATAAAAATGGCAAGAAAAGTGAGGAAGTTGATAGCAGAGTAACATGTCTTTAAAGCTAAAAAAGCATGAAGTTGTTGGATAGTGTAAAGTTTCTTGTAATGTTATCAATGCCATTTAAATTTCAAATTTTAAAAGTTGTTTGACATGGCAAAAAATATCTCCTACCAACTTTGAAGCTTTTTTTTCCCAAAATGGTGGATTATTTTTTCGCATATGTAATACTGATGCATTGCAAAATAAATTGATAATTTGAATCACTGCTATAAATTTAACTCAATTTTGGAAAGCAGAAACAGTTTAGAAACAGAATTAAGGTTTGTAAAGCAAATAAATTAATTGGCTTTAATGAGATTGTCGATGTGCTATCAGAATATTGTTGACAATTAGAAACCTAAAGGAAAATGTTAACTTTCAAGAAATTTATATATATATATATATATATAATAGTAATCTGGAATAAATAATAAAACTTACTTTTCTATCCAAATTAGTAATACTTAGATATTGAGGAAAAGCAGTTAGATTTCTGTATGACAATCTGAATAACATGGAACCATGGGGTTCATACCCTTAAATGTATTAAAATGGGGTTATTGCAAATATTACTTAGATGAGTAATCATCTTTATCTTATGACTCAAATTATGTTTACCATCACTCTCTGACAATGAACATTTCAGCTTAAAGAGGAAACATGTTTACATGTCCAGTAATGAGTAATAAGCAATAATGACTTTGATATCAGTAATTGTGTATTGTATTCATGGTCATTACAGTATATATTATACTATATACCGCAGTGTGCATTTTTCACAGAAAATTTATTCCAAAAATAATTTAAGATATACTGCCTTTGTATATTAAGGTCATAGAGAACAGTTAAACTTTCCAGGTGGCCATAGCAGCCAGGTGGCCAAAGAGGCCAGGTGGCCAAAGAAGACAGGTGGCTATAGAAGTCATGTGATAAGATAAGCAAGTCAGAGTTGGTTAAGGAGTCTAAGTGGTAAAATTGTATGTTACATACAATTGGGTTGCTAACAGGTTTTTTGGTGAAAATCAGCTTTGAGATTAGAAGTAATCTGTCATTGGGTTTGGTTTTATGGGGCAGTGTGCATATTGATTGTCATCAGTTTTTGATAAAATATGTAGCATTTCTAGAGTTGGTCTTAATGCTTTGATACATAGATTTACAAAAGCCTAAACATTTCTTGTAATGGATATTGGCACTATAAAATTTCCTTTATTGATTGATTAATTGAATTGAAAGTTCTGCTGGAATGGAAATTTTATGAATTTTCTAGAAATTACTTGCTTTATAGATGATTGGATTAAGTAAAATTGAAGAACACTATTTGTTCTTTGAAAATCACAGGTTGCATTGATTATGAGATATTTCACTAAACCAATTCAATTCTATTAAATTCATATCAAATTTTTATTGTAGCTAATCTCTAAAAATCTTACTGGATTATATTGCCACATTTATAGTGGCGGATGAGAAATTGCTGACAATATGTTATATGCAGTTGTATTTGAAATACAGTAGTTATTAATTTTTTTTTAGTTTAAAACGAAATGTTTATTCTTTTTTCGAAGTTAGTTTTTTTTTTTGTTGTTGATAGGTTTGATTAATAGAATTTAAAGAAAAGACATGATATAATTTTATACCTGTGGAAAAGGAAAACCCACATCAGTTGCTTTATATTCATTTTTATCTATGACATTAATTTACAGAATGAATTGACAATTTTGGTAATTTTTGACGTAGTTCCAGACTTGAAATATTGTTCATTCGACATTGTTAAATGCTATGAATGGTTAGTAATGAACGAATTGTAAAATGTAACCAGATTTGAAAAAAAAAAACTTTTTGTCAGAATTTCATGGACATTATTTTGAAAATGTAGTGTTGGTAAACCAAGTTGTTTACATATGGTCTTGTTGGACATACAACTGATTAGCAATCTTTGGAAGCTTTTGTTTTTTTTTTTTTTAATTTGATTTGCTTGACATAAATATTATTAATCATAACCTTGCTAATTTATATACAATTTTGATAAAATCAATACAGTTTTAAAAAAATAATATTTGGTAAAAAAAAAATGACAAGTTATACAATTTCTACTTGAGTCTGATTGGATCGTAAATCGGTCCATTTATTTGGCAGATTAGGCCAAAAGAAATGATTGAGTTAGCCCAGCACAGCGACAATGGACTTTTCCTTCAAATCCCGCCCTTTAGATATATTTGCTAAGAAAACAATAGCATAAATGTATGTAAACATGTGCGTCTGTGAGACAACACCTGTGTGTTTTTCCAGACACGCGCCTATTCCTAGCATGCACAGTCCTGATTGGTCAGTCCTTCAGTTTGATTAATATTCCAGAATGGTCCATTGAAATTGGTTTCAACTAGTATAATTGTGGACACTTGTCTAAAACCCAAGGTAAAAAAGCATCAATTCCTCGGGGGAAAAATATAGTTTTGCCGAAAAACACCCGGCTATCTAGATTTTTGGTTAGTCATGGCATCACAAACACTTTTTTTTTTGCCTTATTATGAATATTTGGAGAAATATAATTACATTCATAAGATGTTGATGTTGATTAATAGCCTTGATATTCAAAAATGAATTTTCAAGGTTTTTATCATGTGAGGGTGATAGTAGAATGCACAACCGCGTATCCCATTTAGCGATTGGTTTACGCATTGCACACGATAAGTCTACATTAGTCACACATTCGCTTAGTGGAAACATTCCAAATGTAAATAGATGTAAAGAAATTGAGAAAAAAAACGTATGTAAATTTAAATGCTATTGTATTCTGTACTAGATGTGTAAATAATGTATGTTATGTTCCCTTCCTCTGTAAAAAATTAAAAGTGTTATTAATGTGTGTGTGTGGAATTGCCGCCGAGACGTAACTTTATCATGGAGAGGTAATTCCGATAATGCGTTGAGTTGCAGTGCTAACATTATGTACTCTTCTTGCTTACAAAAATAACTATATTGTAGGATTAAAGCAGTGCATGTTGGTGGTGTGATGAAAACGTTGTCTCTGTCTCATGTTGTGTTTGAATTTCCGCAAACAGATGACAGTCATAAAGACTGCTGATAACACACCTTCAACAAAATCCATTGTTTAATACACAATTTTATTGAGAGAGACTCTGTAAAATTATAATTGTATTCGAAGGATAACACATAAAAATATATTATAAATGTAGGCCTAATCCATGTATTTAAAAATAATATTGAGAAAAAACAAGTTGCTGTTTAGAGATGATGAGAATTGTGATTTTGATGGTGATGATGCTGACGACTACGATGATAACGATGATGACTAAGCAGGGGGGGGGTGTGGCGCCAGGATCTGCCCGAAGTGGTCTGAGTTGATGCCCGACCAAGCCCTTGGCTTGGTCGGGCGTCGCTCAAAACATTTTGAAAGTGGTCCAGGTATTTCGGCGGCTTATTTAATTGATTTTAGAGTCTACTCATATGTAGAAAATACTTATATCATTTTATTCTCCCCGACAAATTGTGGTTTTTCTCGCCTACCGGTGGGGGGTGGGGGTGAAAAAACAGCTCTCCCTGACGGTCCTGAACACATTCCCCCACTGGCGTTACTTCTGTGAATAAGACGGTACAATTACGACATAGACAATGATGATGATGGATGATGATTAATTATGACGATAATACATTTGTTAAATAATGCTTATGTATTTAAGTGCTTATTAAGCACTTAAATACGTACATCAACATTATTTGCATTTATATTTAAAAGAAAGATGCATAAAATCAAATTATTACAAAAAATTATTTACATAACAAACTGAGCATAATAAAAAATATGAACAAAGAAGAAAGAAAACTGTCTACTCAATCATAAATCAGTCACAGGGTTTGCAGGACATAACAACAAAAGATAAACTAATACAGTCGATTGAATGAATTAGTGAATTGATTGACTTTCTGAGAATATCGAGACCCCGGATCGAGACATTAAATGTGCTTAATGACACCTTGACACAAGAGGGGAGAAAGTAATTGGTAAAAATTAACACCATTGTAATACTTATTATACGAAATGAATCATTTCCATTACCCCCGAGTTAGCATTCATTTAACAGAGACTTGCTTCAAGACTGGTTAATGTTTTTCTATTGAACATTTTTTTTTTTTTTTTGATTGACCTTTCTATTATTAAGTTATTGCGTGTTTATTCTTGACAATTAATTTCGATTTTATGTTTCGTCTTCCATCGAGTTTTTCCAAGTCTTTAAAGGGACTACCATGCGTTTTCCATGGACGGCACCGTTTTTCAGGGTCCCATCTCCCGTGACATGATCTCCCGCTAGCAAGCAAAAATATTACTTTATAAATTTGTTTTCGTGGCAACATTAAAAAGAAAATCAGAAAAAAAAAGGAAAAAAAAGAAGCTTATAAGAAGATTATACGTAAATAATATTAATATAATTAATAATAATAATAACTGGGGCTTATTCATATGGGTTTTCATACCGTTAAGACAAGCCTAAATGTCAGTATTATATATTTGATCCATTTATTATCAATACCGTATTGCCATCGATCGTCGGTTTGCAATTTGAGATGAACACTGAAGCTATAGTGTTGGCCCGACAAAGTTTTTCGTAGCCTCGCACCGTTGGGGGCGCTAGATAAAGTTTTGATCACTATTTCAAAATTGTTTTCACTTGTTTCACGTAGGAGGCCACTGCGATCCTCATACCAACTCAAACGTCTAGGCTAGCTAGTCTAGGTAGGCCTACAACAGCCCATAGCCCTTTATTAATATTATATTATTATTACCATGTCTAAACGCGGAAGACAGCCGTTCAATAAAAGAGCTGGCTTTCAGAGGCAACAAGAACCTGCTTCTGGGGTGTCTGCAGCTCTTTTAAAGCAAGGAAGACGCAGTGGACAACTCAACTTATCCAGCAGAGAGTTAACCACAGGTAAGAAGAAGTGGGTAGGGCTGCCTAGGCCTAGTTGGCCCTGCCTTACCTTAGGGCGAAGGCTAGGCCTACACCTCTCTCCCTGTGTATTTACTAGCTATGCCTAGTAGCCTACTAGGCTACTAGCCTACTAGGCTACTACTGCCTACTAAGTAGGCAGGTAATTTGTATTATCTTCCCTAGGCCTACATATATATAGGCAAAGGGCCTAGCTAGGCCCTACATTCTTAGTAGGCTAACCTCAACTAGGCTAGGCCTAGGCCCCCCCCCCCAGGCCCTAACTAATGCCTTAAATATTATTATTAAGCCCTGTGCTAATACACTATATTAGCAGTAGGCTACTACTACTAGGCCTATTACTATTACTCTTACTCTACCCTAATCTAGACTTTCTATACAGTAGGTACTGTCAATGAACGTACCTGCTGTCGCAAGACCATGTACCTGCATCTAATTATCCAGAAATAAAGCTTTGAAAGAATGATAATGAGCAAAGTGTGTTTTTACAGGCCATCTGTCAATACTGCCATTCATTGTCAGCTTTTCGGTTCAGTACCTACCAACACCAAACCATAGCTCTATTT